CTCGACCACGATCTTCGACCGATACTGATTGTGCACATCGGCCCAAGTGACTGCTGGGTATTCGATGAAATTCTGTTTCAACTGCTGTGAAGCCACTGAACTTCGAACGTTGAGACCTTGAGTGAAAGCTTGGACAGCCCAAGCGTCGGTGATCGGTGGCAAGTCCATCCGTTCCATTTGGAATCGAGACACAAATTCTCTGAGCATCTCGTTGTCCTTCTGCCTTACCTTTAAAAGGTTCGACTTCCTGGTTGCGACCTTAATTGCCCCGGCATGTGCCTTTACGAAAGAATCTGCAATCATAGCAAACGAGTCAATAGAATTATGCGGTAAATTATGATACCATATCATAGCACCCTTCGATAGAGTCTCCCCGAATTTCTTCAGCAAGACGGATTCGATCTCGTCATCTTCCAAGTCATTTCCTTTGATAGCACACGTGTAGGAGGTGATGTGTTCGTTTGGATCAGTAGTCCCATTATACTTAGGAATCTCGGGCATACGAAACTTCTTGGGGATTGGCTTTGGAGCCGCACTCGGGGGGGGGGGGGGGAAGGTTTTTGTACGAACTTTTTGGAATCTAGTCCTTTCAATATTGGTGGTGCCCCCGGGATTTGGTCGACCCTGGAGTTATAGGTTTCCACTTTCTTGTCGTTTTCCTCGATCTTCTTTTCCCCTGTCTCGATTCGCTTTGTCATTTCTTTGAGCATCTTTATGATAGCAGGATTGGTCTCCGATTCCTTCTCGTTCGATTTCCTCGAAATCGATTCGACTCTATGTACGATTTCCTGAGATGGCTCGAGTTCGACTCTGCTCGGTGTGTGGTTTTGATTTTGGAGCTGGGCTATTGCTGCCTGTTGAGCCTGCAACATTTCGAAGATCACCCGTAAGCTGATCCCGCAATATTCACCACCAAGTGGGCTCTGAGTAGATGATCGGGCATACCCGCGGACGCTGCTTTCGGGATCGACGACCGAATTTCTATTGATGGCTACATGTGAACTGATGTTGATTTGATCTACAAACGGGAATTCCATCGAGGCCAACAGGGGGTACAACGTTTTCTGGTGCAATGTTCTTATTTTCGCCGTGGTGGGAGAGATCATTGTCAATGTGTTGAGGTGCTGACTGAGAGTTTGACATTTTTTAATTCTATAATCAAAGATACTTCAAAGAACAAGTGTAAAATAGTGTGTGTTACGAAAGTTTATATCAGGTAACTACTATTATCCTTAGCCCCACAGTGGGCGCCAAACTGTTTACCCTAAAATTGGATAACAATTAAAACGCGGGTTTAAGGACACGTGATATAACTTGGTACAAATTAAGAAGAATAAACTAGTATTGATATTAACGATGAAAGAAATAATGCAAACCACACGAATTGAATAGCCTTGGCCACTCGAGTTCAGTCACCCTTGACCAAATATGTTTCAACTTGCTTATGAACAGAATAACAAGATAATGAAAGCTAGAAAATGACATTATATTGCTTGGTACTGCATGAATATGATGCCTTTACAAATTATCAGACCCCCCTTTATATAGTAGGTGAGTCCTACTCTAGGTACAATTCTATATGAGGTAAGAAATCCCATAATTGGCTAATTAATCGGCTTCTACTTGATACGTGCCGTAATGCACGCCGTGATCCCCGTCCGATTGCGGATATTTTGGCTTTTCGTTATTCGGCTCGGTAAGCTTCCCTCGATCTCTATCGTGTTCGGTCTCGATCTTTATTGATCTCGATCTTAATCGGTCTCAGGGCCACGAGCTCAGCAATCTAACTTTGTATCGTGGTTCGATATGATACGAGGCTGAACCTTTGCTTATCTCGTTCCAGTCTCGATCAGTCACACAAAAAAGGCAAGCCCGATTTTGACCGTATACAGAATGATTAGGAGATAATGAAAAGAGTAATGTAGCACCGAATGAGAAGCATGAGTATAGCGCCTCATTTCTTGGAATGGAAAATAACTTCCCTAGCCCCTAGGAAAGTCATTTTCCACTAAGGGTGTGTTTCGTGGGAAGAAAAATATTTTCTTGAAAAAGAAGTGATTTTCTTATTTATTTGTTGATATTAGATTGGTTAGTAGAAAATATTTTTTTTAGGAAATATATAATCTACACAAACACTATTGGAGACGAAAATTAGTGAAGGTGGGGGATGAGCACGGTGGGAAACTAGTCCGGGTTCGGGGGTTACGGTTTGGTGCCGGGATCGAGATCTAGGCCACCCCGACCCTTGACCCCGATCCAAAACCCGATCCTGACCATGATGCTCGATCACAAATCCAAACCTTGACAATGAACCTCAAACCCTGATACCTAGATCTTTGTGTTTGAATTTTGGGTGACGAGGTCCGAAGGCAGAGGGTGCGGTGGTGGGGGTGGATCAAGGGTGGTTGGGGTGAGGTTGTTGAATTGGTAAAAATAGACTTAACGAATATACCATTCAGAAGAGGACATGTGGCAAGAATTGATTAGTAATCTTACGCGACAACTAGAGTTTAAACCGAGAAGCTAGAAAATCGGAGATAGATGGAAGAGTCTTTGGAAGATCAACTAAAATACTCGGAAAGAAAGCCAAATATCCAGAGAATTTATAAAGATTAAGGAGTGCGCATATAAGCAGGATAGCAGATCAACAGGCGCCAAAGTATCCGAGATTCATCATCAAAACTACAGTTACGAGATTCAATACTAAAGCAGCTGTTACAAATAATTCAAATGACCAGAATAAAATGAGCGTAACGGCAACACAACTCAAAGAAACGGCAACCCAGATTCATCGCTATGAAAGCTAACGTTTTGTTTATTTTAGAGACAATTGGCACTCACCATAACCACTATTTATATTAGAAACCTTATCTTTTGACAGTCATACAAAATTCTCTGTAATAAAGCTCCATGCACTCAAGTCTCGAGTGATCATCGAACAACATCTCTCTTATTATTTTTTTGCTCTCTAATTCTTTATTTTGTCTTGAATTTTATCTTAATTGTCTAATTATTATTTAGATTGAATATTTTACTTTTAGCCCTCAATTATAAATTTAATTATTTTATCTTTGAATTAGTTTTTGGATTAAATAAGTTGACGTCCACCGTGGGGTTAGAGCAATTTTGATATTCATCCAAATATACTAAGTTACTAACAGTGTTTTCCTTTTGTATTTGCTATCAATTTAATCTAGCAACATGGTCGGAGATTTTCCGACCATTAATGCTAATGAGAAGAACCAAGTGGAGGATGGTTCCACTGAACATAACAACAATAACGGTAACCAATTTCCAAGAATTGATGGGTTGTCTTCCCCGAGAAATTCCCCACCATGATGTTCAAGGGAATTATAACCAGAACGAGCCGCAGGAGAGACATCCGAAACATAGATAGGCCTCTGTATCCACCAAACATGAAGGGCCAAAGCTTGCAATGCATAACTTGTTCGAACTGACTTAGTGAGTCGAATTGAGCATTAAAGTGTACAACCCTCAGCCCCAGGAGTAGTTCCTCAAATTGACATTAATGCAAATGCATTCTCTGTCACTTCTATTGTGTCTTTAGTACTGTACCATTGTTATTGCTTTCTCTCTAATTTCTGATTATTACGTTGCTGACATTATCTCTCTTTCTTTTTTGCTTACTCTGATATTACTACGCCACTGTCTCTTTTCATCTTCTTTAGTCAGGGTCTATCGAAATTAGCCTCCCTACTCCTTCGGAGTAGAGGTAAGATTTGCGTACACATGACTACCCTCCCCAGACCCCAATTATGGGATTTTACCGGGTTGTTGTTATTGTTTGTTGCATTCTCTGTCACTTGTATTGACAATGGTGTACTGGTAAGAAGTAAGACATCCAACAAATTACCTGGTGAGTGGTGATAAGTTGATATGACTTATGAAGCATTTTCTGTCATGTAAAATTCATGCCAATTTTACCTCCAATTTCTCATGCAAATCAATGAGGGAAGCTGTGAATGAATGAAACAGGCTGAGATAAATCGTCAAAGAATTTGCCCCAGGAAAGAAGAGTGATGTCATAGAACCAGGCATGTTTTGTTGTCGACCAGACTGAGAAGCAGCTTGAAGGAACTTGGACAAATTCATGGACCATGAGGGGGACCAAGTTTAAATTAATTAAGGCGATTTCTTCACATCTATCAAAATAGAATTACCTAACACCTGTGTTCGAGGGAGGTAGCAAGTACATAATGTATTAGTCAAGGTTCTCAAAATGACTCGAGTACCACTTTTATATATAAAAAAAATTTAGAAAAAGAAAGATTTAGTTGGGAATTCGTGATAGCAAAGGAAAAAACATCAAGCCCATACACATCTAGAGATTTTAGCAATAATGCATTATCTGAGAAAGTTATATTGAAGAACTGCTTGTATTAGGCTTCTATTTGTTCTTCACCCTCAGCCCCGAAACCTACTTATAGATTAATTCCGGTTGCTGATTTGAAATATTTTTGTTCTTCTCCTTAATATTTATTTAACAGTTGGGTTGGAATTCGTAGTGTGTTCAGTGATTGAATTTCGTCACTACACCTAAGAATAGTACTCTGCATATATGAAACTCAGATAGAGTTAAAGTCGATCATCTGGGCAGAATTTGATGATGATATTGGCAAATGCTAAGATAAGAATATGAAGCTGGGAAAAATAGGATATCTGAGGTGATGACCTATTGCAGTGAGGTTCTTAGGCATATGCTTATTAGAAAAATGCAAACAGCCATAATGTATGAAGGGGACCCTTGGCGTAACTGGTAAAGTTATTGCCATGTGACCAGGAGGTCATGGCTCGAGTCGTGGAAACACTCTTGCAGAAATGCAGGGTAAGGCTGCGTATGATAGGCCCTTGTAGTCCGGCCCTTCCCCGGACCTCGCGCATAGCGGGAGTTTAGTGCACCAGACTGCCCAAACAGCCATAATCTATCTTACATTGGTGTTGTATATAGTATATAATCAATGTCGACAGCCTTTATAGAACATGAAAAATTGATGCCCATTTCATTTGATGATATACGATAATAGTATGTACTGATCAGAAACACTCCACAAACATATGTACAAAAAGAGAGGTGAAAGTTGTTCCGGAGAGAGAAATGGAGAATTCAACTATCTGTTGATCCTGCAAGGGGACTTAGGGAATGGGGACTTGGAGAAAAGCTACCATTTCTTTTGTCCACAGGAGAAAGACTGTCTGTTCTTTCCCCATAATCCTCATAATGCATACATCCATTGCCCCGGTTGTGGTTGTGCCTCGTGGTTGAATGGTAGTAATGTGGACTATTATGATCCACATGGTATCTCATCCCCTCAGCTCGCCCCACAGACCTAACGGAGATAAGTCTTTCCGGATCAACGGGTGGAGGTTTGGCAAACTGATGGACTGGCGGCTTGTAGTTGTGGAATTGATGATGGAAGCCGTGTCGTTGTTGTTGGCTAGTCATATTGAAAATGCTCGGGGAGCTATGAACTTTGTGCATTTGACTTCTATTGTGATAGTTACTTTGCGTGAAGTTTTCCTGATTAACAACGCCTTCAGTCGTGCAACTCTCTGGAGACCTTGGGGAGGAACAGGCAGAGGAAATGCCAAAGGACGCGTGGCTTATGCCTGGAGGCGGATGTAACCTGAAAATTCCTGCTTCTGATATACGAACAATGCCATTGACAGCATCAATGTATCTCTGTTCTAGAGGTTCTGAAGACGCGACGTGGTGGTCCAGGACAATAGGCTTTACTGGGAAGAGAAAGGCTCGGAGCCGTGGGACTCCTGCAATTTCACAACGATCATATTCATCAAGCATGTGGCGTAGATCTTCGTCCGATTTTACTGAAACAAGGGCATCCAGGTCTTCAGGCACTAATTGATATTTCAGAACCATGTCACCCTCAATTGGGGCACTCAGTTTCTTCATTAACTCTACAAATGTACAAGCAAAACATGGTTCATTGCAAAATTTGGATCAGAGAACGGGGACTTTTAAGATTAATGCAATAGAATCTTGAAGCAACAACAACAACAACCCAGTAAAATCCCACAAGTGGGGTATGGGGAGGGTAGAGTGTACGTAGACCTTACCCCTACCCCGGAGTGGGATAGAGAGGCTGTTTTCGAAAGATCATCGGCTCAAGAAGAAGAAAATAAACAATAGACAATAGATTAGTGACAACAACAAAAGCTAGAAATATAGTATCAGCATCGTAAGCAACAGAAAAATAGATATAAAAGCGATAACAATAACCAGCCAGCAATAGAATCTTGAAGCAAAGTCAAGAAAGAGAGATTGAGAATGATGCCAATAGCTGGTAATTAGCAGACTCTAAGCCATCATTTTCCATGCATTAAATAGGAAATGGAATTACTATATACATGACAAAAAAAAAAGGCAAAAAGAAAAAGAAATGTACCATGAAATTTAATGTCCCGAGGAACGGAGATAACACGAGTCTCGCCTCCAACATACTTTAGGTGACCGTCGGCTGGCCGGGGAAGAATCTTGCCTCCATGGCTACATAAAAACTTTATCTTATTCTTAGGGGAGTTCGGTGGTGAAGACATAATTAAGTAATTAAAAAATAATCATGTGCTTTGCATAAGAAAAAGATTCAGGCTCAATCACACAATTCAACAATGGGATTCCTCCAACGTGATATGTCAAAAACAAAAAGGAGAAAAGATAAAACAAAAGGTGACAAAATTTATGTACACAACATAAGGATAGGGGGAGAAAAAAATAAAATGGTTTCAGAAATAAAGAACAGAAAAAAAATGTTCAGGCATGAAAGTGACTGGCTTGTTATATTTATACATAGAATTTGATTGGGTCCAGTTTCCTTTTCTATTCAGGCCACAGATTCTGTGTATGTCTGATTCTGACCCTTTGGAAAATGGTCAAATAATTAAGGACCTTCTGGTCAAATATTTGGATTTATTCTGAAGATTTCTTCATTAAATGTTGCTATACACCTGGTTTTGAGAGGGAAAATAATGGATTTTATACCTTTAGAAATCCCTGAATATTCTGGAAAATGAATAGAAATTATAGGATGCATTTTCACAGGTTCATTGTGTCTATTCAAGAAAGTAAACTATTCAAGAAAGTAAGGTATTAATACGGTCGTAATATTGCAAAATATGCATTATAGAAGGGGTCAAGAATGAAATGCAATTACTTAAATTAAAGGCTCATGAACCTTTTCACGTACCACTTTTTCTTTATGTCCCAACTTAATTAGTCATGAGATTTAAAACTCGTGATATTGTGAATTGAATTGACACCTTTTTTTCTATATTTAAATAATTTAAGGGGTTATCTTATATGGACCACATATGAATTTCTCTACAATTATCATTTGACAGAATAATAAAAATATGACACTAAAATTCCATGCACTCGTGGGTTTACTAATTAATTTCGATGTGAAGGCTATTGCTTCTTCAAAATTTTGGCTAACCCGCTGCAACAATGCCTTGCCACGCCAGACTCTTGTGTGGGTCAAAATTTGACCATGGGTTAATCATCCCTAAGAGGAACGATATGGAGTCGACCAAGTCGTAGTCGTGCCCACAAGGCAAGATGGCAAAGGACACCTCGGCCATCGTCGGGGCTAGACCGTAAGAAAGCTTACGTCGCGGAACCAGTGTAGCGATCAAGCAATTGAAAGAGGGCGTGGTATCGAGAAAGTACGCTGGTCAAAAGAAAGGGGGGAAATGTGGAAGCTGCTAATACAAATAGGGTAGCTGAACCCAAAAGAAAGGGGGGGGGGGGGGGAGGGGGAGCAGAATCAAGAGAACCTCTGAGGGAAGGACAACTCCTTCACTCTTTTTTTATTTCTCCCATATTCATGATACGAATCGGTTATAGATGTAAGCTTATCACATATGTTTGATATATAATTATGGTATGAAGAAATATTATCTGTGATTATTCTTCTTCTTCAGTTTTTCTCTATCCTGCATATCTAGATCTGGGATTAATTATGTTTAGCTAAGATTTACCTTCTTTAATTCTAACAACTAGTTCGATAAGAGGGTTTTATATTTTTTTGTTCAAACAATTTGGCGCCGTCTGTCGGAATTTCTTAGCCAAATTTCTTAGTTTCCTTTAGATCTAGAACCGGCGAAACGCCACCACCGACTTGAAAAAGCGGTAAATAAACCATCGAAGACGACAATACTAACCCAGGTCAGGCTGCCATATAAGAGCAGAAGTTAAAACCAATATCTCTGCAAAACCCACATCTCGCCAATAGCGATAGGGTTGGCACGACACACATACGCTCAAAATAGGATCATGGTCATCTGGCATGGACACATCCCCATTCGACGCATCTTACTTACCTATATTAGCTCGTATTCCTAACCTTTATGAAAGGACGGGAGCTTACCGCGCGGTCTTAGTGGGATGGGTACACATATTAGCCCATGTCCCTTGTTGCAGATATAAATCGAACGAGATCGGACCGGGACTCGATTCCAACACTTCAACAAGCAAGGTGGGTTCAACCCGTGCGAAGCTCAGACGCTATTACAGATGGATCCGTGATGTTCTAGACGTCAATACCACACAAGAGGCGGGGCGAGTGATTTGTGTGGTACCTAATTTTCGCCCTAGAAGAACCTGGTTCTTCTAGATGTACTTACTAAGACTGTTTGCGGAATTAAGAGTGCATAAAATAAAGAACACAGAGATTTTTACGTGGAAAACACCTGGCTCAAAAGGTAAAAAAAACCACGACCTACTACTCAGTAGGATTTTCCCAAACTTCCACTAGAATCACTGAGCCAAAACTGCATTTACAAAACTCTTTGTAAACCTAAGGATTAAACTCTAATCCCAGTGTGGCACACTGCCTCAACTGCTGCGACACTTTCAAGTTAACTCTAACTTGAATACTCAAAGTACCTAATACAATTGCTTCTATGAAAGCTGAAAAGTACAACTTTAAAACACCTACTACAATTGAACTAGATTAAAAGAAAGACACAATGGAATTGGTTCTTCTATCTTGTCGAAGTAGCTTCAGGAATGCACACTTGAATCTCACGTAAATTGCTTGCAAAAAGCCTTGCTATTTTGCTCTTCAATTTAGTTTCACTTCTGCGTTTGTGCAACACTTTAATGTGAGAACATCCTGCAATTTATAGAGTTAGTAGATGAAGAAATAACTAGAGTTCTGATGCAACTCTTCCTTGGTGGAAGAGTTCTAGTTGATTTCAACTTCTAACTCCTTCCCTATCTTGGATAGTGTTCTCTTTGATTAAGGAGTCCTTCTTCTTATCAATTATGCAACATTTTCGATCAGGAGATATTAAATACACCAAGTTAAGCTTATCTCCTTCACGTGTATCCCACATGCTTGAATCTGCCCGTTTTTGTGAACCTGAGGGATGGACCACTGGATGGACCTGGTTCATTTCTGAGTTCCTTTGTCAGTCTTCAAAACTAACCTTTACTTGGGCCAACAAAATGAACATGACCGTCAAATCAAAAACCGGGCAGGGCGAGTAACACTACAATGAAAGCTCTCTTCACTGACCCGTCAGATCGAGGTATGGAAAATTTCATTTTGGTCTATCCTCTATTGTTGATTTAGATAGGAACGCGGGCACTTTCCTGGGCAAGCGAGCAAGGGAGCAATCCAACTAGAGACAATGGAAGGAAAATCACTACCAAACAATTGGAACGTCGCTCGCCTCAAATACTTCGACTTCTGAAAAGAAAGCACCCCAAAATCGTACTCTTTTTCCCTCACCCGGATTTTGTCCCAATCGGGTTTTCCCGGGTAGGCTTTTAACGAGGCGACGAAGGGTCTAGATACAGGGAAACTTCCAATATATGTATGAAATGGACATGTATAGTACTCTCCAATGAATGAAACAAAGAAACATTGTTGCACTCCCTATCAAGGTAGTCTACAAAGCAAGCAAAATTAAGTACACTCGGACTCACCCAGGAAATACACCGTATTCTACAACGCAAGCAAAATTAAGCAAACTGAGACTCACCCAGGAAATACACCATATTCTAAAATGCATGCAAAACTAAGCAAACTGGGACTCACCCAGGAAATACACCGTATTCTACAATGCAAGAAAAATTAAGCAAACTGGGACTCACCCAGGGAACACCTAATATTCTTCGGTAAAAACAAAACCGAGAACGCCGTCCGAAGTATATACAAACAGTACGGCGACCTGTGAAATTCTTCGAAAATCTAACAGTATCGTAACGGGTTAACATTTCGACCTAAGCTCGAAATAACACCCCTACGGCCAAGGGCCATCGCCAAAAGAAGAATTCGACCTCATTCGAATCGCAACGGGTTAACATTTCGACCTAAGCTCGAAATAACACCCCTACGGCCAAAAGCCATCGCCAAAAGAAGAATTCGACCTCGTTTGAAGCACAACAGGTTAATATTTCTACCTAAGCTCGAAATAACACCCCTACGTCCAAGGGCTATCTCCAAAAGAAGAATTCGACCTCGTTCGAATCGCAACATGTTAATATTTCGACCAAAACTTGAAATAACACCCCTATGGACAAGGGCCATCGCCAAATGAAGAATTCGACCTCGTTCGAATTGCAACGGGTTAACATTTCGACCTAAGCTCGAAATAACACCCATACGGCCAAGGGCCATCGCCAAAAGAAGAATTCGACCTCGTTCAAATCGCAACGGGTTAATATTTTGACCTAAGCTCGAAATAACACCCCTACGGCCAAGGGCCATCGCCAAAAAAGAATTCGACCTCGTTCGAATCGCGATGACTTAACATTTCGAACGAAGATCGAAATATCACCCCTACGGCCAAGGGCCATCGCCAAAAGAAGAATTCGACCTCGTTCGAATCGCGACGGGTTAACATTTCGACCTATGCTCGAAATAATACCCCTACGGCCAAGGGTCATCGCCAAAAGAAGAATTCGACCTCGTTCGAATCGCAACGGGTTAACATTTCGACCGAAGCTCGAAATAACACCCCTACGGCCAAGGGCCATCGCCAAAAGAAGAATTCGACCTCGTTCAAATTGCAACAGGTTAACATTTTGACCTAAACTCGAAATAACACCCCTACGGCCGAGGGCCATTGCCAAAAGAAGAATCCGACCTCGTTCGAATCGCAACGGGTTAACATTTTGACCTAAGCTCGAAATAACACCCTTACGACCAAGGTCCATCAATTCGACCTCGTTCGAATTGCAACGGCTTAACATTTCGACCTAATCTCAAAATAACACCCCTACGGCCAAAGGTCATTGCCAAAAGAAGAATTCAACCTCTTTCGAATCACAACGGGTTAATATTTCGACCTAAGCTCAAAATAACACCCCTACAGCCAAGGGACATTGCCAAAAGAAGAATTCGACCTCGTTCAAATCACAACGGGTTAATATTTCGACCTAAGCTCGAAATAACACCCCTACGTCTAAGGGCCATCGCCAAAAGAAGAATTCAACCTCGTTCGAATCACAACGGGTTACCATTGGGACCATAGCTCGAAATAACACCTATATGGCCAAGGGCTGCCGCTACAAGAAAAATTCGTCCTCACTCGGATTTACACGACGAGATCCTACTCGACCCGGCCAGGGTCGGATTCCCAAAACAAGAAATCAGGGATTCGCCGTACAAAAGTCCGAAGATCTACGCCAAAACAAAAAATGTAAAGCAAAGGGAGAGGAGAGAAATTCAAAGGACGTACAACGACGAAACAATCCTTTTATTTAAATATGCCCAGCTGCACCTTAC